ATATATCAATGGAGAGATTTCCGATCTGTCGAACCATGGCTGTGTCGTACATGCATGAGCTTACCGCCGTTGTGGTGAGGCGATTTGTAGCACCCGAACAACACCGACTGTTGATTTTGGAGTAAGGGCGATTGCAAAAAGGCTAGAATAATTGACCCGCGATGAACCACAAAGCCCTACTGGCGACTGAATCACGAGATAGTGTTGGTCAATTGATCGTGTGCATTCGTGGACAAGATCGAGATAGTGGATAGGAAGTAAGAAGACACAGTAAATTGATCATACAGCTTCGTACTTAAGACTAGTCAATAATCTTTTTGCCATTCTGTCGGCCAAAAGGAAGGACCAGCCAAACAGCAGGCAAGAGGTTCAGTCATAGATCAAGATAGTATAAGCTGAGCAGCTCATCACTTATTAGCGCAGCCGTCAGGGCACCCGTTCACCGGGCAAGCAACTGCAACCACGGGGCAATCAGCAGCAGTCTTACATAAGGCAGAGTTGCCCTTCGAATCTCGCCCCCAGCACCAATCTCCAGCACACGTACACTAACGCATGTATCAGCATCTCGACGATATATATTTCCCCTTGGAGAGTATGAAGTTAAACTAACCTTTCTCCAGCAATAGCCTTGTTCGCAGCCAAAGTCTTCTGTGACACAGTGTCCCGCTGATGAATCATGCAATGGGGAGTACGCGATGTTGATCGTGACGCTGAGTTGCTGTGGGTGACGAGAAAGCGATTTGTCGGTGCCTGCGAGAACGTGTTGAGGCATACCACTACCAAGGCGAGTGTGCATTCCCACTAGAAGAAAGCTCAGGATAGTGTTCTTCATGGCGAATGATGTTGTGGTTGTGAGTGAGGGATGGAGATGAGAGAAGGAAGGTCTGGTGAGAGCGAGCAGGCAATTTATACTGTTTCGCGTGCAACATGACATTCTGGTCTTACACAGACCAGTGGCTTTGTGGTTCTCGTGGTGCAGACGCCTCGTGGTATGATACGAGCTACGAAGACTCCCTAAGGTCGTTGGGTGTCATTATAGGCGGGAGTTGGGGTTTGGGGAGGAAGGGGTGAGAGAGGCGCATAGAATTATTGGTGGGGGGGAAGAGTGTGGGGAAGAGTGTGGGGAAGATTGTGCTAGAATTTGAGTAGATAGTGATGAATATTCACGGATACTATCGTGGGCGAAGATGGAAAGAATGGACGGTAAAACTAGTATCTTTGCAACACCGTTTCCAAGCCTAGCCTCTAACCCAGCGCAAGTCTAGTTTTCTACTTCAATACTGCCTTCCAATCCGCATATCTCTCACACTATCCATCGACCCGCAACAATCCAACACCATCTGCCCGCTTTCCTTATACCGAATCCAACCATCTCTCTCGTTCCACAACAGTGCCCTCAGCATACAACTCCATCCCTATCACCAATGTTCCCCTTCTCCAAAGAAGAGCTCCAGCCCCATCAACCAACAGCACGCCTCCCCTCCCGTCACACAACACACTTCCATGTGCACGTACAGTTCCACGACACCGAGCATCTACCTCGCTGCCGGCGGCCAGTTCTCGGCTATCGCATACCGCTCTCGTCGTATCCTGCCGATGGTGGTCGGGCGGGAGGGTGGAGCGGAGCTTGAGTGTTGTAGGTGTGGGAAGGAGGGTGGGTTGGTGGTTCTGTGATGACATGTCAATGACTTGTTTTGACAGTTCGTTGGGTTCGTGGTGTGGGTTGTGGTGGATGATAGGTGATGAGTAACGATTCTATCGCTAGTCTCACTCACACCTGATACCCCTCTGTGCCTTCTGCTCGACGGAGGAACTCCCACATTGCTCGCACGACTGCGAGACCGCTGCCTTGTGTCTCGATTGTGCGTCCGCGTCCTCGGTCGTTGAGATCGCTTGGGCTTCTCTTTGTCGTTTCGTCTTCGTCTTCGTCTCCGTCATTCTTTCCAGAGACGTACCGCTTGAAAGGCTCTTTGAGGTCGTCTTCCAGGTAATCGCCATCGGAGGGGTTTGGGTAGATGTTGCGGTAGTCTACCGCGTTCTCTGGAAGAACTGGGTGAGGATGAGACGCCGATTTCCTGTTGTCATGAAAGGAGGCAGAAGGAGACGAGGGCTTTGGTGCGCCCCACCATGCGCCGAATCGGCCGTCTTGGTCGCGCGTTCGGAGGGCGGCTTGGGCGTTGTGGACGACCCATGCGGTGTATTCTCTGCAGCTGTTTGCGTGTAACATAACCAACTCTCTGGGTGCTGCATGTGTTTTCCCTGGCCTGACTGGTCGAGATGGAAGAGCTTCGCAGAAGGAAGTTAAGTGGTGGAAGAATATGCCTTTGAATGTCTGGCCATCTTGACTGCAGCGCCCAGAGGGATCGCAGAGCTCCGTCAGGATACCATTGTAACCCAGGCCAGCCCAATCAGCGGGTAGTGCTTCTTGTTCGTCTTCTGGGCCATTGCTTCGATGAGGTTGAGACGTTCTCCAGCCCGTGGCACGTATGACGTTCCTGATGAGCTCATGGCCATCTTCCAAATATGAAGTCTTGCCGGTAGCTTCCCACAGCCCGCGAAGTCCAGATAGAAGGACACCCTGATTGTAGGTATACACCATTTCGTTCCGCTCGTCGCATGTTGTCTTGCTATGATTTGTGCGGTAACCGCCAATATGGAAGCCGTCAACGTAAAGCCCCTGGTCGTTTGTCATGCCGATGTTCTTCAGCCAATCGTACGCGTTCACTGCGTTCGCGAGGTAGACAGGATCGTAGCGTCCACGGTGCCCCTCGTCGCAGTCATCAAATAACTGATCTTGCTGTAGGCCAATCTTGTCGTGCTGCGAGAGAAACGGTGAACAGTTGTCGTCGCCCGGAAAGTGCAGGTACATGCTGATACTCGCCGAGATGAAGAGCTGGTTCGTAATGGCGTTTTTGTACGGCAACAGACGCGGGTTCCAAGTCATGCCGCCCCCGCAGAGCCTCCAATCCCATCCCTTCTCCGCCAATTCGTAGAAAACGCGGGCTCGGTGGGCGAAAGCAGGGACGAATTGCCTGGCATGCCATTCCTTCGCTCCAGCCCTGTTAGACGTGTAGTGTTTAGCGGAATGGCTCTCCACGAAACCACTTGCCTCCAGCCAGCCCAATACCACCCAGAGCATGTCATCGAACGCCTGCATCCTTATTGCGAAATGATCTTCGCCGAAGTAGTAAGCAATGGTCTGCGCAAAGTATTTGTTGATCTCATTCTCCACCATTTGTGCTTCCACATCCATTTTCCGACTCTTGTCGAATGTACCTGGCATTGTGTAGGACAGCGAGTGGGAGAGCGACGAGAGGGTAGCTGAAACGTAGGTCGACATGACGGCTGCTGTCCAATCTATCGCTGTTGTGTATTTGCCGAGCCATACTGAGAAGTAGTGGTCTTGCATTGTAGATAGGGCCGAGTGGAGATCGTGAAGGATGTTGGTCTCGGCGAGCGAGTAGCTGGCTATGCTGGTCGGCAGGTCGTTCGATGATGTTTGGGACGGATCGGGGAAGGATGTAGATGAGGCTGGCGATGAAAGCAGGTGGACAACATTTTGATTCTCGGGCTCGTAGACCGGTTGATCTGCTTATGTGACATGTCAGTGAGAGGTCTTTGAGGGGAAAGTATCTCTCAGTCATACCTTGTGCAGTTGGCGATCTCGCATTGCTAGCGATTGAGCTGGTCGCAAACGCGAATTGAAGCAGTAAAAGCGATAAACATAGTCGCAAAAGCGACGCGACACGCCGCGATCCCATCGCGAAGCCTGTGAAGCTGTGACCTTGGACTGGGTGTTGCGCTGAATGACCTCGGGAAGACTTGGTGCTATGCGACGCGTAAGCAATTCATGGAGCAGCTCTACGCGCGAGCTACTGTTAGAAATAATGCGGTATGCATATAGGATCGATAAGTAAGACCATTCAAGGCTTCTTATCGGTTTCTGTGAAGGCCATACTAGAGGAGGCATGTGCCGCAAGTGCATGAGGCGCATACGATCCTGGCCAAGTCCACCTTCCCGTGCCGGCTTGGGCAGCTGCTCTTGCCTAAGAGCTCCGTCCCATGGCCTGTAGCAGCGGAGGAAGATGAAATGGCGCGAGGTGTGGGTGCGAAAGAACACAATGGTTAGAACGACGAGAACACGACTACATTGATGCTTCCCCAGGCGCAACGCGTGATGGGAAGACGGGATGACGCCAAGCCTGAACCCTGGGATCGTGAAATCGCGTGTCTGCCCCGCTCCCGCTCTCGCGTGGTTTGCTCGCACGGACCGCATCCAGCCCACCAGAGTAGCAAAATGGTACAGCATCGCCCAGCCGCTATTACATGTGCAAAAAAGGTGTTGAGCGGGACAGGATTCGACTGAACCACACATGCAAAAACAATGTTGAACAGAGTGGGATTCGAACCCACGCAGATTTCTCTACTAGCACCTGAAGCTAGCGCCTTAACCGCTCGGCCATCTGTCCTTTGATGAAGGTTTAGAGCTGCGGCCTCTTTATATACTGACTGACCACAGTTCGCCAGGCCGAACGAGAAGCTTAAAGGATTTCGGTGGGTGTGGACGCCGATGGCTGGGCAGCCGAATCAAATGACTGGCTCTTGCAAGCGGGGCAAGGGAACTTATCAGATGAAGAGAAGCACTACGCCGCGAAGACCGAAATATCTGTACTAGGTAAAATCTACGCATTTTTGGGGCAACATTGACTTTAAAGGTCTTCCCTTCATGCAACATCTGTCATTCGATAAGACAGTAGTAGCTTTTGAATACATCGCTCGTTCGTTCGCTATGCAACCTTGGTCTCAAAGTTGGTCTCCGTGATACAGCCCACTGAGCGCGCAAATCGATAGTGTGGCGATCCTGCACAGAAAGTGAACCACTCCATCTAGTTCGGGACAGCAAACACTTGATTATTATCCGATCGTGGAAGCAGTATATCCGTGTAATGGAGAATTAGTGAATGCTAATGCTCTGACAAACTGCGAGTCTGGGCTTCATCTCATGCCCATCTAACAAGTCCATCGATGTGTACCTGCAATGCAATGCTGTCCCCACACAACCCCGCCTTGATACCAACGTTGATAGCCAGCCCGCTATCACGCACCAAGAACATATCATTTCGCGCGTCATTTCCTCGCAATGGATCGTACACCTCGTCTGGTATCCTCCTTTTCACCGCTTGCGGCCAGGTCCCACTGGCCTGACCGTCTTGCGAAGGGTCAAAGTCCGAAATGGCTTTACACCAGTAGTGACACGTGGACCTGTTGAAACCGAACGCGACGGGAAAGCTTAGAGAATGCGCATATGCTGCTGATTGGACCCGAAGCAGAACAGCCCCCCAGAATTCTGTGACATTGTCTGGTATCCGTAGCTCGTGGGTGGTTTCGTTCCAGGAATTACGAGGCGTGACACTGATTATGCGAACTGTTGGCGTAGTGTGGCTAGAAACGCGACGTCGGATGTGGAAGCTTTTGAACTCGGTAGTCGTGAATTCAGGTGGTATGAACAGCTTCTGCCGTACGTAAATGGTATGGAGCTTCCCAGTAGGCCAATCGTCGATGAAAGCCAAAGAGCCAGCATCAACACGCGCGTATTGCGTCCCACCATCCAGACACTTCAATGTGATGGCCAAGCGCTGGTTGAGCTGGTTGCTCGACCGTATCATGGCCAAGACCCGGCTTTTGTCTTTGGGGTCAGGTAAGAATTCGAGCTGCACACGTAGACCGATAGGGGTAAGGCCTATGGGGAACGTGGAAATGACATTCTCGCGCTCGATAGAACTGCAATATTGAAACTCTTCAGGCTGGCGCGCAAGCAAACCCCGATACGTTGATCGCTCCGATGAAGTTGCGCACCAGGAGAATAGGGAGTAGTCGTCAGTAGTCCTTAGGATCTCCTCTTGTAGACGGATAAAAGCCTTCGCACCTTCTCCATAAAGTAAGGGCATGTGAATGTCGAAGAGGCCCAGCAAGCAGTAGGCAACATCTTCGACACGAGTACTTTGCCGATGTGCTGCCCAAGACATCCTCTCCGCAACGGAGAACTCACTAATAGTACTTCTGTCGTCGAGTACACGAACTGGGATACCCGTGGCGTCAGATAGCTCCTCCAGAAACTCCACCTTCTCGCCCATCAAGGTCCAGTCCTGGAAGTAGAAGCGACATAGAACCGGTGCAATCAGTTCTTGTAGAGTCCAACCGCGACGCGTCCACCGAGAAGACTTTAGTGAATCTCTTGCGATTTCGGAAGCGGTTGTGTAGCCGTTTGGACGCGGTTTGGGGATGTCGCCTAGATAGACGATGCAGACCTCCGCATCCCGGTACCAACGATACATGGAATTGATGGCTTCTTGTAGCTCCGCACTTGATGTCTTGTCAATACAGCATGTGTCTACCCAAAGATAGTGACAGCCTTGGCCTTGTGCCTGCTCAGCTGCGTTCACAATCTTGCTGTAGCCGACGCGCGTCATGAGGTCTTTCTCCGATAAACCTCCCAAAGGCATCTCGGAACTGCCTCGAATCATCATCTCCAACGCCAACATCAGTGTAGTTCGCGCATCTTGACTGCCTGTTGATGCCGATGCTAAGTTGGTAGAAGCGGACAACGCTCGAGCTCTGCTAATCCAGACGTATTCCTGGTAGTTGACTTCATCTCCGCCCCAGGTATGAGAAAGGATGGCGTATTTTGGGATAGAGTCATCGTTGAACCATCTGAGCTCGAGTGTTCTGACATCGATGAGTCGCATAACAGACGCTGAGCGACGTGTCGACGTGGGTGATCATTGGCGTAGAGAGACCAAGCGGGGTGCCTGCCCCCGATGAGCCGAATCGGTTTGGGCTTTGCGCTAGACCCAATGGGCTGCCCTATACGAAGCTGCTCGTAACTTCAGACTCCTAAAGCATTTCCTCACGATGAATGCCGGTACCATCATAGACTGGAACATGCACGACGCTCGGAGAGCGATGCTTCCATAGCCGTAAATCGTAGCTAGGGATGTGCGTCCTTATCGCGAGACTACGGTACGGCATCGGGGTTAACAGCGATTGGTTCATGTTCAAGCACGGAGTCCGACGATAGTCCTTGTCATTGCAGCCCTTGACATGGCGTCACTGATATTAAATAGCTGTCGTAACACATTGCCGACACTTGCACCAAATTACCATGACACCCTGACCTAGCGCGAACACAAAGTCTATCATCACAATAATGAATGCGAGCGGAAGGTCTGCAGCGAGTGTATTAGTTGCTAAGAGAAGGTGCTGGAGAAAGTAAAAAATGGCTAAGGATACAGATAAGGTAACACGCGGCAGCCGTACATAGGAGATCCACCAACTGCGATCCATATCATCTCCAATCATGTCCCCGGTGTCACAAATGTTGGGATACGCACAGTCCCCGGGTACGTTGCCGATTTCATGAGCACCAGACGCGACGCAATGTGCGCCGACTCCGTTTACTCGTGCCGCTCCATAATAACCCCCCATGCACCCTCAGTATTCTCCATCAAGCATGATCTCCGATGCGCTGCAAAGGAGTCGACACATGCCAGGTATGCAGCTGCGCGCTATCAGACTCGGTCCGCGGCGTCTTCGTGCGAGAAACCGAATTTGCGGTCTACCCGGATGCAGTTGTCCTCGACGCTCGTGCGGTGGTCACGGTATGTGGGAGCAGTGGCAGAGCTCATATGATCTTTGTTCATGGTATCCGACCACGAGCTCATCTGAGAACTATTTCCACAGGCGGTGGAACTGTCCGTCAAAGTAGACGTTGCGGGCTTGCCATGGAGCTTATTCTTGGTGGATCGTAGGCCTCTGGGAGCAGCGTTTTGATCGTGGGCAACACCCGCCCACATAGCCGAGAGGGGAAGGAAGATGCAGACGATTGTGAGAACGTGGGAGACAATCTCAGGGGGGATGCTCTCAACAAATTGGAGAGATGTGAAAATAGCTACACGTAAGTTAGTAAATGTCAGTGTTCAGCGTGGCAAAGAGAGACGAACCTGGTATTGACATTGTCTGACAGCCCATGATGAAGACGATCTGCATCGGTCCAAATCTAGGCATGTTGAGACGGCGCCTCTGAAGGATGGCATGTCCCAATTTCCAGGTGAACACGCAACTGAATAACCAGATGGATATAGTTTGCATGATGTAGGTCATCCCGTCCAGTGCTGCCAGAGAATCGGGTGACACATTGTCCAATGCGTATTTGGTATTCAGGTAGACGAAAGCGAACTTGACTCCAAAAGCAGCGCAGGCCACTGTGGTGGTTGCACCCATGATGATGGTGCGATGTAGAGGTGGTGTAGTGACGCATACGATCCAGACTTGGAGACTGAGTGAAGCGTAGACTAGGATAGCGACGATAAGACTGAAAACGTTGATTAAGACGTAGATAGCCCAGTCCGCATTGGTCAGAGGTGGTGAATATGGGGTAACATCGCTGTAAGGGTCGTTCCAGGTGCTGCTAAGATACATGGCGAGAAGCAGGCAGCGGATGGTGTTGGTGAAGAGGGAAGCGGTGTTGAGGTAGAAGATGAAGGACTTCCGCTTCTCAGCCTTGGTCAAGAGGACGAGAACAACCAGAAGCATGATCGATACACCAAGACCTACCCCATTGCTGGTAGCAAGGCGGGCGGTGTTCACGCTCCAATAGTTGACATCCGCCATGTTGACTGTGGTGACTGCCCATTTGGGTTCGTCGCCCATCACAACCGGCACGATGAGGGTGAAGTTTTGGGTCCACGGCTCGAAGCCGGGCGGAACCTGGAAGTTGGACGGAAGGTCAACGGCGTGGAAGTCGTCAGCCATAACGGCTCCTACTGCTAGCAGTCTTTGGAGGTTATAGAGGTAGTGCTGTTTGGCCGTAAGTCCAGGGGAGGAACAGAGTCTGACGGAGTTGGGTCTGGAGGTGACAATTTGGAAGAAAGGTAGAAAGTACTAGAGGTTGAAGAAGGAATGAAGGAGTCCTGCAGCAACGAGAGTCGAAGCTGTATCGTTTATATCAGAGTTATATAATAGCTAGATGGCAAGGTTGGTTCTGTGCTGCAGATTGGTGGCATGCAGGGTCATCGAGAAAGTGACGGGGAGTGATGGCTTTCGGATCCCGAGCGGATAATAGCAGCGGCAGCGTGCGATTGTTTCGATATCCCCACTCACAACTATAGCTAGCCAAAGCGAGGACGAAGATGAAGTCTTAGAGTTACCTGGAGCCCTTACTATTGTTCCATGGTCCCTTCACCTGCATGCGTCCGGATACTCGCCTCGGTCTGTAAACGCTTGACCAATGCTCGCCGCTGGTGCTCTTCTCCTGTCTTACAGTGAGTCGCAGAGTCGCTCATAGTGAGTTGGATAATTTCGAGATGCGCTGTTTGCAGTGTGCGATGGTTGTGATGAGATAGCGCGAATTCCTTACTATTGTTCTCCATCTTCGACTGTCTGAGCTTTGAGACTGTTGGGCGGCGGTGTTCGTGAGAACTGGGACCAACGGCAGTTGAGATGCACAGCAACCAAATTAAGTACACGAGTTACCGTTGTACAGGTATCGTCCTTCGAATCCATATCCTTGCTGTAACCAGAGGAGGTAGCGGCGTACGGCTGGCAGGCAGAAAGGGAAGGTAAGCGTGAGCGTGAGTGGCGAATCAGCAGACAGCCCCACTTATTATGCGCGTCACCGCTAGCCCAGCTCCAGGGCTGCGCCTTCCGCAAACGTGACCACGCGTTAAATCCAACATTCGCGATCAAGGAACCGCCACGACGCGTCAACCGGCCTAGGATGTGGACATTGATCTCGTCACATACTACGGGAGCGCCGGGGTCCTCAGAGTACGCCCTGCCGGAAAAAGGAACAGTACACATCGTCAACAACGTACATCCTGGCGTGGTTCGCATTATAGCAGCGCCTACAATCATACCTGAGCTCGGTCGCATCGGTAGGTTCGCCGAAGAGGCTTGAGACATCCACTGACTATGGTAGATTCTGGGCCATGTGGGGTCAAACTGGAAGCCATCACAGCTTCATTAAGCATCTTGCCTGGCCAAGCACACGCCAACAGTCTATCATCGGCTGCTAGATACGAGTTGCAACCACAGAGTGAGGGACGCTCAGAAACAATATTCCTGCGTCATGGCGATCAGATCCATCTTCCAAACGCTCAATCTTACCTGACTTGTCAGTGGACAGACTCAGAGGTCCAGGTCAACTCATCGGCTGCTGACGCTATGAGAATCGCGGTGACACCTGAAGAAGCCCAGAGCGAGGGCGATGGTACGAAAGATCCCGCCGTCAATGTAGCAAAGTCACAACCTCGCGCAACCCCTCAGCTTTCGAATCAACGATCAACTACTGTGATCCAGGAGACCCCAACCGCTGCGCGTACAGGGAATGTTACAGATATTTACGAAGCAGACGTTCAGGAAGCAGAGGCTTTCTCGACCGCCCGTACTGGCGAGTCACAGGATCAGATGCAACCACAGCTGCCTCTGAATGCTAGAACATCTTCACCGCGAGTACACATACCATCGAGGTCAGCTAAGAAACGAACACGGTCCCTAGCCGATGAGGCGGACGCAGATGCATCCAAGTCTGACAACGGGACATTTGCTGGGCCTAGCAAACGCGCCAAAACAAGCGATAGCGACACAGAAGACAGTCGCCTGAGTAACGTCGACGTTGCTCAGCCCGAACAGTCCGCCCCACCACGATCGCAGAGGGGTTCGCAACGATCCATATCTAATACTACAGTTAGAGAGGACTACGATGGCCCGGTTTCCCGTGTAGCCTGCAGCAACTCCACCATTACGAAAGCAAGTGCGGCTGTCAAGTTCCTGAAGAAACAAGGTGGAGCGTTTGTAGAGAATCTGGCTGATGACTTCAATGTACTATGGTAAGTACTACACTGTCTTTGCTGTTGTGTCACCATGCTAACCGATTAAAGCGTACGAGATGGTGATCTCCAAAAGACAACAAAAGTACTTTACGCAATCGCACGCGGCATTCCTATCGTTACAGACCAATGGCTATTGGAATCTGCATCAGCTAAGCGCCTGCTTGCCGTTTCCGCTTTCAAGCCATCCATACCTAAGCAAGAAGAGGAGTGGAAGATCAAGCTTGACGACATCCTCGAAAAGCCGCAAACTCCGTTCACCGACTTCACTGTTCACTTTACGAAAAGCCTCAAGACGAGATACGCATCTTCATTCTCTGACATTGAGGCTGTCTGCAAAGCTGCGGGCGCGACGAGCGTGACGAGTGGTGCGACGAAGATCAAGAAGACAGGAAATACCATTGCCCTCGCTGCAGACGAAGATGATGTGGAGGCACAAAAACTGATCAAAGAAGGAACAACATGCTACACAAAGGACTTCTTCACATACAGTATCCTGCGGGGCGTCGTTGACCTCGAGAGCGACGAATTCAAGATCGAAGGAGCCGCAGCGGGCGAGACACCTTCAAAAGAGCAGAAGAAGAAACGAAGCCGGAAGAGTAACTAGGCACGTACTGAGGAGTCAATAGTCAAAGACGGGCCCGGAATCATGATTTTCCTAACTACATGTTAACTGCATAGCGCGCGGAGCAGGTGCTTCTTTGGACCCATACCAGGGGAGGGTACGGCGGTAATTCCTTTATATCATATTATACCCACTCTCGTCATCGTAGCAGACAAATTCAGTAGCAATACTATCAAACAAATTACAATACCACGCTTATCATAGCATCACTGCCGTTCCATGCTCCGGTAAGCGAGCAAGACCCACAAGATCCCCCACTATAACATACATATCCCCGATGCTGCCGATGTTTGCTCGCTTCAAGTGCCTCAAGCATGAGCACATGAAGTTTGCCAGGCGATTAGTAGGATGCAATTTTCAGAATCCTCCATCAAGAAGTGCAACAGCGCATTTCGATAATCCTCTGTGGCGCAATTGGCTAGCGCGTCTGACTGTTACTACACCAGTAGCTAGTTATCAGGAGGTTGGAAGTTCGAGCCTTCCCGGAGGAGGATTACTTTTTGCTGGGTGTTGGTGCCTAGACGTGTTGAATGCTTTGGGGTAGAATGGGGTTCGGACTTTTTTTTTTGGGCTAAGGATGTGTGTGGCTGCGATGCTAGTGTGTAGCGGAGAAACGCGAAGTATAGGGATCATCGTCATAACAACGCGATGCGCAATTGTTTTTACTCAATAGATATCCGTTACTCTAGTTATCTGGAGATGCACAAACGCAGGGAGTCACAGTTTCATCAGTGCAGGTGCAGTAAGATCTATCAGTTTGCGACTAGTTGTGCTGCTCAAGTTCACAAATTGCCAACACTATGCACGTCTCTGATGTAATCCCAACTAGATCCTGACCAGGCTTAACTATGCCCTTCCTACCTTGAAGCTCAATATCTGCACCTTGTTAGCGACATGTCTGCTCGCATGCTCATCATATACTCACATCATTCTTTCCCACGGCAACAACATCATCCTCCGCCACTCTCCTCCCGCCCTCTGTCTCAACATACGCCATCGGCGCGTCACCCATAACCTTCCTATACACATCACCGACTGTACTACCCTTCTTAACAAGCACACAATCTCTGAAAACAGCGGTCGAGCTCGCACTACCACTGGTATACGCGTGGATGTTGCGGACTGGGAAGACTGGAACGAGTCCGAGGAGTTCTGCCGCTCGCGACAGGACCTGCACGACACCTGTGCTGCCAAAGCGGTAAAGGACCATGTCCTTGAGATTCTCGATTCGTGTTGTGAGCTTCTCGTCCAACTCCTTCAGTCCGCCTCCATCGGGGTCGCCTTGCTCGATCAAGTCTTCTCTTGTGTCGACGAACTCGCTGCCCTCTGTGTATTTGATAAAGCCCTGTTTCGCTAGTTTCCGCAGAAAGACTTCAGATATCGCGCTGCAAAGCACTATGCTCTTGGCATCCACCTGTTTCGCAATTTTCGCAATGTTCTTGTCCGCGTCGGGGTGATCGATCTTGTTGAGTGCGATAACGGTCGGGAATTTCTCGTCGGTAAAGGCGTTTACGACTCGTTCGATGGTCTCGTTTGACCAGTCTTGTAGTGGTTCCTTGAGGGCAAGGCGATCGAGACAGCGCGCAACGACGCTGGATGTGGATCCGTAACCTGAGAACTGGTTTTGTAGTGTCTCGACTGCCGTGGCTTTGATAGCGACATGCCTCCTCTTGATACTGCCCCATTTCTCCATCAGGTTGCCTTGTATCCATCGCACAATCTCGCTCCTCAGCCAGACAATGTCTTGACTTGGGTCGTAGCCTCTTGTCGCCTTGCCCTCCGCATCGGTCGTCCCACTCACATCCACCACGTGTACAAGCGCATCTGCATGTCGCAAGTCGTCCAAGAATCTGTTTCCGAGGCCTTTTCCCATGTGTGCGCCGGGCACGAGACCGGCGACATCGAGAAGTTCTATAGGGACCGATCGCCGTCCTTCGACGCAGCCGCCGTAGTTGGGTTTGCAGCGATCAGCGAGACCGAGGCGCGCGCAGGGGCATTCGATCTGGAGGTAACCGATGGCGCGCTGGGGATCGATGGTAGTGAATCTGGTTGTAGTATTAGGAGCTGACGATGCGAACAATCGAGCGCGGTGTGCGCTGCGCAGTCGCATTCCATGGATCGGAGAGGGATGACTTACGGGAAGTTACCTACTCATAATCAGCCTACATAGCTCCCAGCGTATTCAAACATGTACGGACCGACTTTGGAGGTAGCATCTGTCAAGCTGCCATGAAATCCATCTTAGAAAGATCCGCGAAAGAGGGGTGGAGGGGCATTGCGCACCTGTTCAGTGTAGTCGACTTGCCGGACGAAGGCTTGCCGACGAGGCCGATTAGCGGGTCGCGAGGCATATCTAAGGAATGTAAAGAAGGAAGAACGGGGGTATCAAAGAAGGCTAGTCGAGTGCTGATGGTTGCAGTGCGAAAGCCAACATTGTCAAATTCGCGACCGCCCTTATCGATAACGCACTGACATCACACAAGGCTGCAGCTCGCCATCACTCATGCATTCAGGCAGATAGGCAATGCTTGTACTCGACTCCATACAACCCAGCACCCCTCACATTACGATATCTAGAAGATGTCTATCTTGCTACAACGCCCTAGAATGCTGTTCATATCAAGATTCACTATCCTCCCTCCTATCCAATAAACCAATCAATACACCTTGTTGAAAATATGCTCCAAAGAGAGACTTTTTCGGGGGTATAACGTCGCTGAATGGGAAAACATAAAC